TAACAATAGAACGTCGAGTAGAATATTTTTCATTGATACATTTACTACCAATCTATATTAAACAAGTAGAATGGAATTATCAAAGATTACTACGAAGAACAGACAAGACTATCATTGGCGCAAATGTTCATCCATGTCCAGTGCACAATGTTAAACCGATATAGTGCGCATTGCGATGTCTACAATGAATTAACAACCGTGTCTACATCGTTTGTGTTGTATTTAAAGAAAAACTAAAAACGTCGTGTTTTAGTGTAACACATGTGTAAATGTTTCCCTTAGTGTTTTTCTAATTGGAAATGTTTGTCAGGAACACGACAATTGTTTTCCATTCGTTTGATGTTTCTGAGCATTTGGTTTTGCCGTTTGATTAGGGATAAGTGATACTCTGATATTCCTTGTACACCCTGTTGTGATTGGCATTGTGTACAGTAACGCCTCGGAATAGATTGGTGTATAAGCTATATAATAGACTATTTTCATATTACCGACTTTTGACTCCGGATTATATAATTTGTCGACTGGTTACCTTGGACATCATGGTACCAAGTCAGGTAAGAGCAAGATAAAGAAGTAAAACCAAGCTTTCAATCGGTACAATTTTGGGGGGAAATTACCTGCTTAACATTTCTTTTCACTACAAAATCATCGGAAAACAGTAAACTTTCCCCTCAAATTACACCGATTATATGTTCTATTTTAATTAATTTGGTTGCTCTTACTTGACCGAGTACCATGATGTCCAAGGTAACCAGTCGACAAATTATATAATCCGGAGTCAAAAGTCGGTAATATGAAAATAGTATATTGCCTGTGGAATAGTGAGTGTTTTATGTATGATAACTCTCCGTATTAATTTTTGTATGAATACCAAATTCGTTTAATTAATTCAACGTATATTAACTTTAAGAAGCATTTAAAAATCAACAGTGCATACATGATCAATAACTCAATAGTGTATAAATCCAGAAATCGGACATTTTAACAACATTTTATGATCAACTCACAATACAGATAGCGACAAAATATGTCCAGAAAGTTTACTAATTGTAACATGTGTAACTTGAATATCGGCGAATTGTCAAATTAAATACCAAAAGTTTTGTTATCAAATTTTACTAATGAAAATATTTTCTATGAGTACTTTGAAAAGAGGTAAACAAACAAAATGTATACATGTAGTCTACTCAAACATGGTAATGGTTGTCTGCTTGGTAAAATTGGTCCTTGGCTATGTTATCTGGCAACTTGTTACTAGACTATAAACAGCAGTTGATGAACAGCGTCTTACTTACCGAGAGTGAAAATGGGATAACGGCTTATTTGTAAATTAAAGATGCTTTACTAGGGTACACGAATCAACGCATTGGTTCAATGTCCGTGTCAAAAACTGCATTGTGTCTTGAATGACCCTTCATACTGGTCAATATAAGTCCAGGAAATCTTCGCTGTCACAACATTTATAAAATTTTATTTTCGATTTGCAAACTTGCTACTCTGATATATAATAGCAATGTAACTTATAAGAAAAACAGGAATATATTTGTGAGGAAAATATCAGAATAGTCGTTTTATCTGTAAAGAAAAGGGAATGACAGAACGACTTTTTTACCCCTGGAATTTGAAAATAATCAAGTATCATATCAAATAAACATTCACCACAAGTTCATAGACATTACTTTGTTAGATATCATAATTTAAATGTTCTGGTTTTGTCTTGCGTATTTGTTTTAGGACTTTATTTCTTTTGATTTCATTGCAAAATTGCAAACTATCAAGGAGCATCATTTGGTGATCGTGTTAATCGAAACCTCAATCCAAAAGATATGTTACTGCGAGATGTCTTTCAAAAAGATGTTTATCATGTAAAATACGTTTTAAGTTAGGCTGATATCTTATTTGCTTAAACCCATTTAAAAATGGCAATTTAAGGCAAATTATGTTAATTTCGACATAAGTATGACGTCATTGCGGCAACCTAAAGTTTGTACTTAAGTGTCTAGATTTGACTATTCCCATAGTAATACACAAACATAGCTTTTAAGCGATTGCATCAATTCTATTATTTAAGCAAATTCAGGCGCCAGATGAACATCTTAACATTCCTCTTCCTCTCTCAATTGAAGAGGCATTTGGAGTATACATCACCATGACAGGTGATCAATGCATAGTATACATATACTATCTAGGTCTTTTTCAATTTTCGTTTAGATATCAAAACTGGATTTCCGTCTGTATATATTAAATCCAAATATTTATATTCAAAACTCTAGAAATAATTCATGAATCAAGGTAAACAGAAATCCAATGTGCAATTAAAAGCTCATGATCCGCCAGTGACACACATCGTGAGTGATAAGCATGTGGTAATCAATACTATGAATCCCAGTATATACAATATGTCGGTGCTTCATTTTCCTATCATACACCGACCGAGCGAGAGCTCAACAGCCAGTCAAGGTCGTCAATAACCGCCCAGTTACTATCATAGAGTGTTGCTGCTTAGAGGGAAGCTATTAATATAAACCAAAGGTTCCAAGTACAAAAAACTGAAGTCATCTCTTCTAATATATTACGGACGCCATAGAGAGTTGGTTGGCCGTTATGGAATATCTGGGTCAATATGTGCAATTCATTTAAAGTAGGCGACAATGGTAGCCTTGTCGTCCAGTCCTCTGTTCATTTCGTAATCTTGGATATGTATGATGGCTGGTTTTCAAGCTGAGACATCTTCACAGACGTGGTCAAATTGTCGTGGTACAGAGTGAGGATAATTTCTTCCACAAAATTGGAAACCCCGAAAGTCCCTTAATATGCTGCTTCAGCAAGTAAAAAGTATTTGTACACAATTAAAGTCACTGGAAATTTATGATCGGTTCTTTTCGAACATTTAATAACTTCACAGTGTTTACATCTTTATTGTACAGTCTTCTGATCCACAAAAATCACTAATATTTAAACCTAGCCAATTACTTAAAATACCATCATGTCCAATATTATTGCATACCTATTTTTTCTATTTCTATTTCTATTTATATTTGAGTTCCTCCCTTTGATGTGCATTAGGAATTTTGACCGATATATTTCACAGATGATAATTAATATGTCCTACCAAAAATCTCGTCCTCTTTTCCTTGACTATGAAATCACCAAATTTTACTTATTAGCGAATTTGTACTTACATGAGAAACCCGACTGTTTCCTCGTATGGTGGAGGATCTGCTTACGCTTCCAGGAACCTAAGATCCTTCCCAATTTTTGTTGGGATTTATATTAATATTGCTCACTCAATAGTTTTATTTGTTGTTTTTATATAATCGTGGTTTTTTTATTAGTTTTGCAAGGTGTTATCATTTTGTCTTCGTTTTAAGAGTTTCAATGTCTTCCGCCTCTCTTTTAATCGGCCTGAAAAAAAGAGGCAACAGATAGCAAATGAATATTCAAACTTATAAGTACCCCATGGTAAATAAAAAGGTTTTGAATTCATATGTAAAAGAGACGTAAACATTAAAAAGGGATATTAAAAAACAATAAGACAAACAGCGTACACAAAATACAACATAGAAAACATAAGAAAGACTGAGAAACACGATTTTCGTCAACTTGCCGAATATCTATTATAAGCTGAATAGAAATCTTAGCGTATGAAAGATAGGTATACAACATATATGTATCAAAGTTAACAATAAGCAGAACTTCTCAATATTCCAGCTCCTACATCGTAGAAACTGTATACACATGTATGTAACTATAATAGGTAAATGAAGGGTCAATTCAGGCCTGAAACTAAATAAAATTCGTAAGGGTTCCGCGGAACCCAGTGTCTCGCCTACTTTTGCTGTTAGTCGCAGGCTCAACAAAAATGGGGAAACAATTATTAAAAATTTTCCTCTAGATACTATCTTTTGATTGTAAGAAGTTCTGTTCAAGTTTGGTAATAATCCAAGAAGGTTTATGAATCTAATAAATGTTTTTAAAACTTTAACTGCAGACTGTACGTAATGTTAACTGGGATAAAACTAAGTCCATTTATAAGTAATATACGGAAAAATAGGAAATAAGTTTTTACAAAATTTCCTTTTAGATACTAGCTTTTGATCATAAACAAGCTTCTGTCTACGTTTGGTACAAATCCAGGATAGTTTAAGAAAGTTATTAAAATTTTGAAAGCTTTAACCACAGAGTGAATGTAATGTTAACTGGCAGAAAAACTAAGTCCATTTATAAGTAAAATACGGATAAACAGGATTTTTCTTCAAAAAAATTTACTTTTGAATACTATCTTATGATCACAAACAAGCTTCTGTCCAAGTGTGGTGCAAATCCAGGATAGTTTAAGAAAGTTATTAAAATTTGAAAAACTTAAACCACAGAGTGAATGATATGTTAACTGGCAGAAAAACTAAGTACATATATGAGTAAAATACGGTTAAACAGGATTTTTTTTTATATGTATGGGTACCTAGACGTATATAGTCCGTACAAAAATATTTATATATTTAAATGAAGGACGTGAACCAACAAAATATATATTGGTGTACGCTGAAATTGTTCGTCGGTGGAGGTAAACTGATAGGTGGATCTTTAGCAACTCTACCTTACTTAACCCATCTGTGGCATTTCTGACATGACTATTAGTTAAACTAAGCAATGACATTAAAGAGTTTTGGCCAATGGAAAGGTTTCGTAGTCATAAACCTGTTATAGTATATATCTTAAACGAAGGTCAACATAGGCCTAAAACTAAATATAATGCATTTTGTGATGATGCAATATACAATAATTTACGAACATGATCTTTAAATGTTTGATTCCTTACACAATAGCTGTTCAATCAAAGTTATTAACAAGAACAACTAAAATGGAAAACGGAACCTGGACATACCGTTTTTTTTTTTTCAAGTTCACGATTTCTCTAAGGTTTGCCTTGAATCTTGATTTTTATATTCTAAATGCATTTGATACGAGATTTGAACATCGTGTAATTAAGGAAACATAAGTTCAATGACAGAAATCTATTTGAAAAAGTAATATACAAATCAGCTGCTACATGTAGTCCTGTACAATCTGAATAACAATTTCTTTAATTTAAAAGGTTTAATTAAGAAAGCTGCATACACCTTCAAAGCATTTGCCCGTATGTTCATCTCTGGCAACTACTTTAAATTCTGTTTCACTAGTTGATATTCCTATCTTAAGACGTGCTTCCCTTCTAAATTTCGGCAATTTTATACGGATGTGACCAATTTTCCTGCAGTTATCCGAAGAAATTATTTTTGGTGGCTCTTCATCATCGGAGGCGTAAATCTGTATAAAAGCTTCTTCCTTGTTGAACGTTATCGGAAAATCGTATCCAGTGACTACTTCATTAATCTGGATCGGCTGACCTTTCCGAATGATTGTATGGAATTTTTCTATAGTTGAAGTCAATGGTGGCGACTGTTCGATACCAGGCACCATCGCAATTCCGTAATGAAACTTAGCAATTCTGCCAACAATAGGAGTGTCCATGTGACCAATAATAACTGCTCCCTTCAATACAGCTAAATCCGGATCAAGAGGACAAATGACGGTAAGATTATTAAACTTTGTTTTCATTGCATCCTTTAAAAGGTCACATGATGCGTATCCACCAACTAGAAGGATAGTTGAAACCCCCTTTGTTTTTGGTTGGTCCAATAAATCTTGCACATAAATGATGATTTTGTCGATGCCGTCTTTAAAAATTTGCAGCACAACATCGGGTGAAAAAATTAGCATATTTTTTATTAGTTTAACCTTATCCTTATATTCCTGAGCAAACGTGTCCGGATTGGATTTATTAGCCTCTATAATTAACGACCTTGGAATCTCTAGTCTCATTTTTCCATCAGAAGAAACAGTTCGCTTTTTCAATTCAACTTTTCTTGCAAGTTCGAGGTAATCGTCTCGATGTTCTGCAATGAACTTTGTAACTGTTTTATCACCAAAAATACCTCGCAAGAGTTTCCATATTCTAGTATTGATAATGTTGCCACCCCACGGTCCACCAGAGGCGCTGTGTATTTCCTTCAATTGTCCCGATTCTAAGATTTCATTTGATGTAATATCGACTGTTCCCCCTACAAATCGAAGACAAACTTGATTAATTTCTCCAATCCGTTGCGCTTTTTGTAGCAGATTTCCGCAAAATAACTGAAAACCAAATATTTTGAAACCCAATGCTCTTTAAATTTTATACTTGTTTGGCTTTCTAACTATTTTGGTCTGAGCGTCACTGATGAGTCTTATGTTGACGAATCGCGCGTCTGGCGTATTAAATTATAAGCCTGAAAACTATTTCAGACCTTAATACGTGAATAGAAATAGAAATTTCCTTTTTGTTCCTGACACAAATCACGAACCTGTAGTTCAGTAGTTATTCTTGTCATATCACATTTTCGTATACTGTTTTGTTATAAATTTGGCCGTTAGTTTTCTCGTTAAAATTTAATCAAATTTGTCATGTCGTGACCTTTAAAAACTGACTGTACGGTACAGATTTTTCTCATCTTTTAGAGGCTGTACTGTTGCCTTTATGCCTTTAATTGCTTATATTCACTTCATGTGAACTCGGGCTGATAGTTATCTCATGAGCAAAATACCACGCAACATTAAGAATGGAAATGGGGAATATGTCAAAGAGACAACAACATGACCAAACAGCAGACAACAGCCGATGGGTCTTCAACGCAGTGAAAAAATCCGGCAATCGGAGGTGGTCCTCAGCTGGCCCCTAAATAAAATTGTGTACTAGTTCAGTAAAAATAGACGTCACACTTAACTTTAAAACATATAAATGAACTCAAATTAAAAAACATACAAGACTATCAAAAGCCAGAGGCTCCTGATTAGGGACATGCGCAAAAATGTGGCGGGTTAAACATATTTTGTGAGATCCCAACCCTTCCCTTATACATCTAGCCAATGTAGAATAAATAAACACATAGCAATATGCTCAGTTAAAAAGAAGTCCGAGTCCAATGTCAGAATAGGTAACAAAAGAAACTTAGCAAAATGACAATGATACATAAATGATCAAAGGACTCCTCCTTATTCTCATATTGAACGTTAAGATGCAATTTTAGTTTTCTCCAAATTAGCAAATTTATCCAAATTTATTTCCTAAATACACTTTATCAATCAAGTCTATAGACGGTATATTGGGTAATTACAGATGAATATAATTACATTAAATTTTGATATAATAATATGTAAATTCATAATTCAATGGTGGTAAATCAAAGAAGAAAAATGTTGTCTCTTTTGGGTATTGGATTTTAAAGTATGCTGGCCTATCAATGCCTTTATTATTCGGGAAACATTTTGTGGACGGTTGCGCATATACTGCCAGGATTATTATCATTAAATATTATCATATTGAAATCGGTATAATTAGAGCAATATCATTTTAAAAAGATTTCTCATATGGAAAGTTAAGACAGAATATATTTTACATTGCCGAATTCGATACGACTTGCAACTAAGCGTTGCTAGTGCATCAAGACGCGATACTTTCCCGTTTCATTTTGATATCCTCACACAGTTGACTTGATAAGTTTGTTTTCGGTTCTTTCATGTCTCAAATATACATTTTTGTTCCAAAAAATATAATTTTGAAAGGTTGTTAAACATGACTCTTTTATTACCTCCAAGATCTACCACTAGGAATCTAGCACCCGTATCAAATGATCCAAATCTTCCAACTTGCCCAGTTGCCCGTTTTTGTATCTCGTCGCTCTTGCAACAAAATGCAGCTGCCTCTGGTTCTAGTGCAAGTGTTAAACGCTCTTCCTCTATTCCAGCCTACAATTATATAAACTTATTTCATTTTTTTTTTTTATTGCTTTTTGCAAAAATACTTTTTCTTGTTTTCCCATACATGTTTTAGAAAATAACTTAACTTTGCACATTATCAAAAATCAATAAATCAATAATCTTATCGGTTGTATGTCTAATATGTTAAAAAAGCTTAAGAATACCAAATAAATAATTAAAACTCATTTGGTCCGCGAACACAGTTATCGTTACTTGATTTTCGTTGTCTACAAATATAGTCCCTAGTGCGGACACTGTTTCTTGCCATTTGTTTATACCCTTTCTAAATTAATTTCCTTACGTTGCATGCTTCAAATAGCAAGTTAGGGGATGAAACTACACTGTTAAGAAATTTGGGTCATGAATTTTAAAGTAAAGTAGTTAAACATTAGTATTTCGGAAGCTGTCAAAAATAATTCCAAGACCCACTTAACGTAAAATTGTCCATATTTTGATTTAGAGCTGATGAAGTTTTCTTTAATTTTGATATAATTTTTCCCAAAAGTAGTACCGTGACACCACACTGTAAAATATTATTGAGAAAGTGCAAGTGGGATTTTTCTCATTTTGATTTATTGTCTAAAAATGCACTACGAAATAACTGTGGTCTCGGGCCATTAGATGAGAAACGACCGACAACATCATTGTAATCAATCCTTAATTGTTTGTTGGGTCGTAAATAGTTTAGACTGAATGAACTACTAGTATAAAAGGTTGGAAATCTTATAATCTTCAATAAACTTTACAATTTGTACCTTTTTTGCAGCTTCTAACATGAATTGTCGTGCATCCTCGTTCCAAATAGCCGGAACTGTGAGCACCCAATGAATGTTCTCTTCGTTTAGATTCGCAATTTGCTCTTTTATTCTTCGAAAAAGCGTGTTCCATATATACTCAATACAGAAGGCAAACACGTCTACAGCTTTCAATTCATTTTTTCCAGTAATGTCTTTAATAGTCATTGATTTCTTAAGTTTCTGTAGAAAAGTAGGAAGAATTATAAGTGCTGATAATAAATATCACAGGTGACAGGTACTTGCAAAAAAAAAGTGCAGAGGACATTATATGAATGAGACATAAAACCATACGAAACAGATGCATTTAACAGTAAACTCATTAACAAACATAACACATCTTCTAATTGTTATAATTATAAATACAGTTTACACATTTCACTGTATATTTCTATTGATTGATTTATTGTTGTTAAACGCCACTTTCAACACTATTGTGTTATTTCGTGGCGGTCAGTTTTTATTAATAGAGGAAGCTGGAGTGCAATTTATTACCAAACATTGTATTTCCTAATATTCACCTATTACATATTATTTTATTTTATTTCTTTCATTTCCTGAGCTGTTCTGCACTTTTAGATCTTGATATGTCAAGTAACCTCGTAGTTAATTTTTTTTCTTCACTCAGTATGAACATTATAAAAGATATTTACCATGTTATTATAAAGCTGCATTTTAAACCTGCTAAAGTAATACCACTTGTGTGCTTCGTCAGGGGTTTCCTCCAGCAATTTAGTGTATTGATCTTCTGCTTGATGTCCAAATGCTACAAATTTTCTATCAGGGTTTAAAAGTAGCACTGTCGGCACTTTTAAAGACGAATTTCCTTTCTGGTCTAGTCCCATAACAAATATTTCAAGTGGGTTTTTGATGAAGCTGTTTTTCGTTGAAAAAGCACGACCAGAATAAGCTGATCCAAAATCGATTGCTGCCACCATTGAATAATCTTTCCTGGAATAAATTAAAAATTTGAGATGAGGCTGCCAAGTAATTTGCCATGAATGAGTTCACAAAATGGATGATATAAATAGATCAATAGCAAAATGTGCAACCACTATCTAATTCAAATAACTCAAGAAATAACAATGTACTACCGAATGAACCATATACTTGATATGTTGTATTAGTATATGACGAAAAAAGTCATGACAACTAACTAAAATCCCAATTTAAAATGTGTTGGCTTCGATTTGCCTCCATGGAACAACCTTCATCAGCATTTCGTATAACTTAATTTTTTTCTTATAAAAACTTGGGGATTTGTTATAACATATTGTCCATCTTCTTAAAAAGACTTGTTACTCCATTGACTTTTTTACTACTTCTATTTTTAAAATTTATTAATGAAAGAGAAATAACTTTTCAAAAATAAGTATGTTATTCCGTACAAATCGTTAGTTACTATTGAGCCCATAAAAACATTATTTCGAAAAATATCACAAACAAATTTACACAACACTGCTCAAGAATTGTTCTCTAAAGCTTTATAGTACATGTATGCGCGAAACTGCTTCTTTTAAAATTCATATAAAGGTATATTAACTATCCTATCGAGATAAAAGTCAGATATCTTTGATGAATATTTATAAGCGCAAGATCGATGCTAATGCTAGGTATCTCCATCCGTAAAGTTAGCACTGTTATGTTAATGTGATATTTCATTCATACTAGTATGTTCATTTTCATTAAAAGTGTGTGTTCATAAAACTCAGATTTCCTCCTGGCATAGGTCCTCTAATGCATATTTGGCACAATATTTCAGAATTTCTTATTCGACTTGGCCTTCCAATGGGCCATTTCAGATTCTAAAGAACTGTGGGAAATTCAATTGGTCCTACCCCAAAGAGAAAATAACGTCATTTCATTGGTCTAATTTCAATTGATAAGGACTTTTTAAACAATCACGACAATGGTGAGCCCAATGCAGACGCAGTGCATGTTTGACGTACCAAAGAATACGCCTACAATATCTAATGAGTTTATAAATGGGATGAATAGGTTGGTACTGGACTACCTGCATTTTGAAGCATGCGTGTATCGGTCCAAAGTCAATATCTTTATACCAGCGTAACCGAGGTGTAAAATATGGACAAAAATAATGCCTACCCATGTTAAATTTAGCATTGGCAAGATAAAATTAAATTCTGATTATTATAGGTTAATTAAAAAAAAATGTCCTTTTTGGCGTACCTTTCATACAAGTTCAAAAGGCATCCATTTTGATTTGAAGGCGAAACGGTTCAAAAAATCAACGATAAATAAAATTATCTTAACTTAATGACCTACAGAATACGAAAACAAATGTTCATTTTGATTTCCGGTGTTCAAAACACAGCTGACGCTGCAACTTTAATTGTGACGTCAATCACGAACAGCCCATGTTTTAATGGAATGAGAAAATGGCTTTTGTTTCCAAAGCGAAAGTAAAACGTCAAATAAAAATGATAAATAAGTTATCATTTGGAACGGAATCAACCCTCTACAAAAGAACAAAAATAAATGAATGTTATTTTTAAATAAATCTCTCAGCTGAGCATCCATAATCTGTTCTCAACAATTTTTTTTATTTTGTGTCTGGAACCAATGCTTCACCAAAACTGCATTCTTACTTCGGTTGAATGAATTACATACCATGTTTAGGTAATTATAATATAGTTTTTTTTATTCTAATTCATTGCAAAATAATATATTAAATGAATTAAAGACAGAAATTTTAAAAAATATATACTTCGTTTTGAATATAGTCATCTCTTTGAACTTCTCCAAAATATCAGCATCACTTTCCTTACGCTTCCGAGTACCTTGCTTTGGCTCGGGTTCATCAAAACGTGCTGTCGTAAAATAATTATTTCTGTATTTAAAACAACAAATATCTATATGAAGGTATAGTTGCTTTCAGAATGCATGTGCAATCGTTATGCATTTTTTAGGACTTAATCAGGTTAGTTTGCGTTTATTTTTCGGGATTTATCGGTTTGGTTTGTACAAAACTATGAGCTCTATATACTCAATGTTAAATTATTATTAAGAATACCAAATAAATAATTAAAACTCATTTGGTCCGCGAACACAGTTATCGTTACTTGATTTTCGTTGTCTACAAATATAGTCCCTAGTGCGGACACTGTTTCTTGCCATTTGTTTATACCCTTTCTAAATTAATTTCCTTACGTTGCATGCTTCAAATAGCAAGTTAGGGGATGAAACTACACTGTTAAGAAATTTGGGTCATGAATTTTAAAGTAAAGTAGTTAAACATTAGTATTTCGGAAGCTGTCAAAAATAATTCCAAGACCCACTTAACGTAAAATTGTCCATATTTTGATTTAGAGCTGATGAAGTTTTCTTTAATTTTGATATAATTTTTCCCAAAAGTAGTACCGTAACACCACACTGTAAAATATTATTGAGAAAGTGCAAGTGGGATTTTTCTCATTTTGATTTATTGTCTAAAAATGCACTACGAAATAACTGTGGTCTCGGGCCATTAGATGAGAAACGACCGACAACATCATTGTAATCAATCCTTAATTGTTTGTTGGGTCGTAAATAGTTTAGACTGAATGAACTACTAGTATAAAAGGTTGGAAATCTTATAATCTTCAATAAACTTTACAATTTGTACCTTTTTTGCAGCTTCTAACATGAATTGTCGTGCATCCTCGTTCCAAATAGCCGGAACTGTGAGCACCCAATGAATGTTCTCTTCGTTTAGATTCGCAATTTGCTCTTTTATTCTTCGAAAAAGCGTGTTCCATATATACTCAATACAGAAGGCAAACACGTCTACAGCTTTCAATTCATTTTTTCCAGTAATGTCTTTAATAGTCATTGATTTCTTAAGTTTCTGTAGAAAAGTAGGAAGAATTATAAGTGCTGATAATAAATATCACAGGTGACAGGTACTTGCAAAAAAAAAGTGCGGAGGACATTATATGAATGAGACATAAAACCATACGAAACAGATGCATTTAACAGTAAACTCATTAACAAACATAACACATCTTCTAATTGTTATACAGCAGATTCCATTGAGTGTGTAGCCAAAGGTAATATCTTTGGTTAGCTTGCTTGTTAGCTGAACCGTGAAGTCATTATTAGGTCAGGTATACTACCCTCCTTTCGAAGTAGCATAGTCCAACAGACAGATCGATTGGTTATCTGTTGGACTAGTCTATTCTTAAAGTAGGGTAGTTTACCTAACCTAACAATGACTTCACGGTTCAGCTAACAAGCAAGCTAACCAAAGATATTACCTTTGGCTACACACTCAATGGAATCTGCTGTAATTATAAATACAGTTTACACATTTCACTGTATATTTCTATTGATTGATTTATTGTTGTTAAACGCCACTTTCAACACTATTGTGTTATTTCGTGGCGGTCAGTTTTTATTAATAGAGGAAGCTGGAGTGCAATTTATTACCAAACATTGTATTTCCTAATATTCACCTATTACATATTATTTTATTTTATTTCTTTCATTTCCTGAGCTGTTCTGCACTTTTAGATCTTGATATGTCAAGTAACCTCGTAGTTAATTTTTTTTCTTCACTCAGTATGAACATTATAAAAGATATTTACCATGTTATTATAAAGCTGCATTTTAAACCTGCTAAAGTAATACCACTTGTGTGCTTCGTCAGGGGTTTCCTCCAGCAATTTAGTGTATTGATCTTCTGCTTGATGTCCAAATGCTACATATTTTCTATCAGGGTTTAAAAGTAGCACTGTCGGCACTTTTAAAGACGAATTTCCTTTCTGGTCTAGTCCCATAACAAATATTTCAAGTGGGTTTTTGATGAAGCTGTTTTTCGTTGAAAAAGCACGACCAGAATAGGCTGATCCAAAATCGATTGCTGCCACCATTGAATAATCTTTCCTGGAATAAATTAAAAATTTGAGATGAGGCTGCCAAGTAATTTGCCATGAATGAGTTCACAAAATGGATGATATAAATAGATCAATAGCAAAATGTGCAACCACTATCTAATTCAAATAACTCAAGAAATAACAATGTACTACCGAATGAACCATATACTTGATATGTTGTATTAGTATATGACGAAAAAAGTCATGACAACTAACTAAAATCCCAATTTAAAATGTGTTGGCTTCGATTTGCCTCCATGGAACAACCTTCATCAGCATTTCGTATAACTTAATTTTTTTCTTATAAAAACTTGGGGATTTGTTATAACATATTGTCCATCTTCTTAAAAAGACTTGTTACTCCATTGACTTTTTTACTACTTCTATTTTTAAAATTTATTAATGAAAGAGAAATAACTTTTCAAAAATAAGTATGTTATTCCGTACAAATCGTTAGTTACTATTGAGCCCATAAAAACATTATTTCGAAAAATATCACAAACAAATTTACACAACACTGCTCAAGAATTGTTCTCTAAAGCTTTATAGTACATGTATGCGCGAAACTGCTTCTTTTAAAATTCATATAAAGGTATATTAACTATCCTATCGAGATAAAAGTCAGATATCTTTGATGAATATTTATAAGCGCAAGATCGATGCTAATGCTAGGTATCTCCATCCGTAAAGTTAGCACTGTTATGTTAATGTGATATTTCATTCATACTAGTATGTTCATTTTCATTAAAAGTGTGTGTTCATAAAACTCAGATTTCCTCCTGGCATAGGTCCTCTAATGCATATTTGGCACAATATTTCAGAATTTCTTATTCGACTTGGCCTTCCTATGGGCCATTTCAGATTCTAAAGAACTGTGGGAAATTCAATTGGTCCTACCCCAAAGAGAAAATAACGTCATTTCATTGGTCTAATTTCAATTGATAAGGACTTTTTAAACAATCACGACAATGGTGAGCCCAATGCAGACGCAGTGCATGTTTGACGTACCAAAGAATACGCCTACAATATCTAATGAGTTTATAAATGGGATGAATAGGTTGGTACTGGACTACCTGCATTTTGAAGCATGCGTGTATCGGTCCAAAGTCAATATCTTTATACCAGCGTAACCGAGGTGTAAAATATGGACAAAAATAATGCCTACCCATGTTAAATCTAGCATTGGCAAGATAAAATTAAATTCTGATTATTATAGGTTAATTAAAAAAAAATGTCCTTTTTGGCGTACCTTTCATACAAGTTCAAAAGGCATCCATTTTGATTTGAAGGCGAAACGGTTCAGAAAATCAACGATAAATAAAATTATCTTAACTTAATGACCTACAGAATACGAAAACAAATGTTCATTTTGATTTCCGGTGTTCAAAACACAGCTGACGCTGCAACTTTAATTGTGACGTCAATCACGAACAGCCCATGTTTTAATGGAATGAGAAAATGGCTTTTGTTTCCAAAGCGAAAGTAAAACGTCAAATAAAAATGATAAATAAGTTATCATTTGGAACGGAATCAACCCTCTACAAAAGAACAAAAATAAATGAATGTTATTCTTAAATAAACCTCTCAGCTGAGCATCCATAATCTGTTCTCAACAATTTTTTTTATTTTGTGTCTGGAACCAATGCTTCACCAAAACTGCATTCTTACTTCGGTTGAATGAATTACATACCATGTTTAGGTAATTATAATATAGTTTTTTTTATTCTAATTCATTGCAAAATAATATATTAAATGAATTAAAGACAGAAATTTAAAAAAATATATACTTCGTTTTGAATATAGTCATCTCTTTGAACTTCTCCAAAATATCAGCATCACTTTCCTTACGCTTCCGAGTACCTTGCTTTGGCTCGGGTTCATCAAAACGTGCTGTCGTAAAATAATTATTTCTGTATTTAAAACAACAAATATCTATATGAAGGTATAGTTGCTTTCAGAATGCATGTGCAATCGTTATGCATTTTTTAGGACTTAATCAGGTTAGTTTGCGTTTATTTTTCGGGATTTATCGGTTTGGTTTGTACAAAACTATGAGCTCTATATACTCAATGTTAAATTTTAGCAACAGATGTCTGCCCAAAGTCAGGCTGTCTGGGCCATGTTTTATTCTTTGTTCTTTATCTTTGTTCGTTTGTCTATTTTTCCGTGTCAGGCAGAATCCTCTTACCAATTATGAGCACATGCAATCACCACCAGGTTTTTGTGGGGTTTATGATGCTCAGTCTTTTTTTTACTATGTTGTGTTTTGTACACTACAGTTTGTCATTTAGTCATTTTCGTTCTTTGCTAAAGCATTGTCAGCTTGACAGTTATTTTTCAAGTTTTGAGTTTGAGTTTTTTTTATGGTATCTTTTGTTTCTCTTCTTCGGAGAAGTGAGATGTTGGTAGTTACAATTCATTTAGTATGTTAAAGTGTTAAATATTTTTTTTTGTATTACTTCCTTACAACCTCGTATTCCAATGCCTTTTTTTAACTTAATTGCAAATGTAGTTCGAATATCGATATCTATAAACGTTATCTGCCATTTTTCGTATAAACAAAAGACATGGAAAGTATTGAAATTCCTGCAAAAGTATATAATACTACTAGTTAAAAGTTTGAAATGTATGATAGTACGGGTGAGGAGTTTGAAGTGCAAAACAATTGTAAAGTAAAACAAAAGAGTATAAGTATCATAAGTAAAAACTTAAAAGTCTTAAAAGGGTAAAAAAAACTATACTACCAGCAAAAAAGTTTTAAAAGAGAGGCGAAAGATACCGAAGGAATATTCAAACACAGACTGACAATACCATGGAACAAAGAAAATATACGGAAAAGGAAACAACAGTTCACAAAACATAAGGCCATAAAAAAGAATATGTTTGTTTGCCCTAACCCTACCTGCCCTGAAAATATCTGCCTACTTAAAATCTTTTATTGTCTTGATGTGAAATTTTTTTTTTTAATCAGATAGGCATGAAGACTAAACACAATCTGACACTTCAATTTCTCTTTGCCAAAAAAAGAAAAGAAAATCCCCTACCTACCCACTGTCTATACCTTTGGGTAGGGTTTGGGCAAACCAAAATATTTTTAGATGTGGCCTAATATAGCAAAATAGAAATTGAGCAAAACGAACCTCACAGAAAACTACTATAGCAAATCCATGCACCCTTTTTTTATGTATAGCTAGTTGTATTCTGTGAACGTTTCGATGAAATTTAGAAAAGAGTTTTCATATGAATACAGTATGCTTATATTACCAAGAAGCAATGCTTTTATGAAAGATGAATTTTAATACCTTCTTGGTTGCTGTCGCTTGTGAAAACTTCTTCATCGTCTACCTCGTCCAGGGAATTGCACTGAAATGTTCACAACAATACTTTACAATTTTACTCTACCGAAGCAGTCGAGCGACAATGATACATATATGAACAATCATTCAATCAGATATAATGCAAGTAAACAGTATCAATAGCTTGTGGAAACCATGCAAGTGATGAAAGTTATAGATCTGATTACAACATTCTCATTTTTTTTATTTCTTGTCCATTTTGCAATTTTATTTCCTTTTTTAAATTATCGGTCTCATTTGTTTCTTGTTTCATTTATAAAAAATAACAGTTTTTGAGAATAATGAATATGGTCAATTTGAATGAAACTGTAGATTTAAGTTGTCATTCGGGGACTATTTTCTGAGATAAAAGACATCTGATAATGCATTATAAGATGAACTATAATTGTTCTTCTGATAATTACATCAGACGATTGAAAAGATGTGTCGGGGTATAACTCCGACGTATTCACAGGGAAAAGTCTGTGTTTACCTTCTTAAAACATTCCATCCACTTCTCTCTTTCATCTTCCGATTGTGCTGTGAAATAAATTATAAAAGGTTGTAAAAATAAACAAAAATATCACTGAGCTTAATTTTTTTATAGATATTCTTTTGTATATTATTGTCAGTGAACCAAGTGTCAACATGAATTTGAATTCTACTTTAATAGCCAAATATATATCCTTTTGAAGGTGTCTATGACATTTTGCCTTTCAGTATAGTATTTTATTGGATCTGTTTTTATCAAATTTCATTCTATTCTTTTTGTAATTGTTCACATACCTGACACGCGGGCAATCAAATTCATTGGCCCTGATCCTTGAATTGCACAGATTTGGTACGGTCGCTTTAACAAACCGTTTTTTTAACATCAATGATCATGTTACCTTTCAACTTTATGCTTTGACCATTATTCGAAGTAATATTGAAACGCAGTCCGTCTTTTTTCTTGTCAATATCAGCGAGCTGTTAAAAGAAATGGTATACAAACATAAGTAACGCATCCACTAAATACAACATTTTGTTTCTTGTTGCCAATAGATTTCAGTGAAACGTTCTTATATTATTGCTTTAGCTTGTATTATTTAGTTACGATATACTGATCGACATGCATAAAAATGATTATAAGTAGAACATCATTTGCATGAAAAAAAAATCTTTAAAATATCGGCAATATGTTGCGTACTTTAAATAAGTACATAGGTCAGATTTAAGAATTTTATCAGATCTTCGGACTCCTTTGGGTATTTTTCTACGATACAAGGTAAAATATTTTGGCCCATAACACCAATTTTTCTTTTCATATAAGACTTCAATAGCTCATAAAAGGTCATTTATCAAGTTTAAGCAGATTCTAAATTTCTTTTCTTTCGATCAGACACCCACATATTACAAATGAAAATATAAAGTAAAGTCCGAGTCAGCCTTTTCCCTCTATTTTTCTTTTTAAATTAAATGTCTCAAAAAGGAGATCCATAACCTATAAATTTTTGTAGCTTATTTTGTTTTTCTGGCTTATAATTTCAATTTTAAATTCTAGATCTGGTTCTAAAATTACTTAAGTACATCCTTAAATCAGGATAATCTTTTTTGAAGACAACTGTCATTTGAAATTTTGAAGAATGCAAACATTTTTCTAATTTATTTATGTTAAAATGCTTTGATCATATTCAGGCTTTCAGTGTTATATATAAGCTTTATGTTGTATTTTGTATTCTTTTGTTTGTGGTGTGGTCTTTTTTCGTTATTTTGTCAGTGTCATATATATTAACCGCAATAACCTCTCTATTATCTTTTTATCCAGTAATATAGAAAGCAGTCTAACCAGTTTTCAGTGAAATTTTTTTTAGCATTCTTACCGTTTTTTTTTTCATTGTTATGTATGTTCATCACATTCTAACTGGGGTGGGTTTTTTTTTTGGGAGGGGGGATTTTTTTTCATATGTTCACCGCATTCTAACTTGTTTTTTTTTAGCGTTATGTATATTCAGAGTGTTCTTATCCGTTCTAATTCTTACCATGATATTCATTTCCCATTTAGCTTTCTGTGATGCATTACTGGGCTTTTTCTAAAACAGTAAATGATAAATTATATAGCAGTACTGATTTTGTCTAACGAATTGTTTGAATAGTACAGGACAGGCCACAGTGCATCAATTTGAAAATTGACTTTCCGATAATGTTTAGATCAAAACGTCTGTTGAAGACTAAAAGTCATTGCTCACCAAATTTTTCAATATAACGAAACTATAAACAACTGACAAAAAAGGTAGAAGGTTAAGCTAGCTACAAAACCAGGTTAACCCCATAATTTTTTTCTCGAAAAATGCCTGCAATAAGTCTGGAATATGACAATTGTTTTACATTTATTCCGTTGGTTAATAACGGTGCTTTTGTTGGTTTACATGGACCTTTCCTACTTTGGAATTGGGTATCTGTGTGGTATGTTTTACTGGTGGGTGAAAAGAAAACAAACAAATATTCGCAGAATAATAATATTAATTACACTCTTTTGCCAAACAAATCAAACATATATTCTTCATTGGTAATACTTTAATGATATATTCACCTCATATTGTTTCATTAATCCATCGTCCGTCAAGACAAACCATCGGTCTTGATAACCCCTAAATATTGATATCTTCCTCTTTAATATTCCATCCATACTAAACTCACAAAAACTTGCAATAAATAACAATCTAAAATAAAAGTGATATGGTTTTTAGCTCTATATTCTATTAATAAATGTTCACACTTGATCTTGTCTTAGCAATAATCCAAACCTCTTTTCTCTTTTATGTCATCACCAATATAGTCTCATCAAAGAACTTGTTATTCAATTATTTTCCTGAAGAGTAAGTACTGTTTCGATACCAAGATACATGCTGACAGACCTGTCAATCGCGGTATGATTTTTGTCAAGTCGTTATGGGGCCTTGGTTGCCAATTGGTCTAAAAAGTCGAACTTCTGTATCACTAGCTTTGCAAACAACAGTGGATTAATCTTTATTCGTTGGATACCAATTTTCGTGCATTTCGTGGGTAAAGGTGAAACACAAAATTAAATGTTAGACGAATGACAAGTTTCCTATACTCTTCTGTGCATACTTCGTCAAAGCAACGAAATTAGATATCCACGAAAATGCTAGTTTTCCTTATTCCACAAAAATTGGTATCCACGAAAATAAATGAATCCACAGTATCAAAAAATCCTCAGTTTGAGATCTATTTAATACACCTAGATACATGTATGAGCAAAAGGTTTGCTCAATACAGAATTGTTAGTAGTAGATGTTGCAAAAAGATGTTTAAGTTGGTAAAATAACTTTGTGCGTACTACTTTGGATGATATCTATTGTTATAAAAGAAAGGAGATGTGGTATGATTGCCCGTGAGAAAAATATCCACCAAAGTTCAAACGAAGTTTATGTTAGCAATTAAAGGTAACCTTTCGCCTTCGACAATGTGAAAACCCATACCGTATAGTATAATATACCGATCGATTAAAAATGAGCCAGCTACTTTTCGTAAAAAGCATACAACTTCTTTTTGTAAACTTGAGTAATTATTATTATTTATAACATTGCTTTTCATTTAGAAAATACAGTTATGATTTGCGATATAGATCTGTTGATTGTAACACCGGTAGTGTAACAGTAGTCATCTACATATCATATTGATATACGTACATTTATGGTCTTCTTCATTGAAACTTTCACGGTCGCTTTATATTCAAGTTTCAATCCTTATCGAGAAAATAATGAAAATTAAACTGCCGCGAAAATTTCAGTGCATACAACATATGATCTGTAAGGGATTAGTTGTACGGCAAAAATTATGCTTGAAGCCACAATACAAAACGATGATTGCCTTAAAACAAGAAAAGACTAAGACGTAAGGAATGTGTATTTACTCCTAGATATTAGGGTTATGTTCATAGGTATATATAATAGTCATTTTTTCATATACATAGTAGAACCTATTCAAACCGATGATCAAAAATACACGAAAATGCACTTCCAAGACCCATTCAATTTGGTGGACTTTGGCTGTTGTCTACTCTTTGGTCGGGTTCTTGTCTTTTTGACATATTCCCCATTTCCATTCTCAATTTTACTCTTCTTCAAAAGTATGGTGTTACTGTCCTATTTTTTTTTTTTCTTCATTTAAAACAAGGAGAGTTTTTGTTTTCCATTAATATATAAAACTGTCCGTATCTAATCATTCTGTTGCAAAGTTCTTTCAAATACTTCGGGAAGAAAATTGTGATGAAATCGTAACTTGATTGATTAGAACAACGTGGTATGGTTATATAGCTCCAACATTTTCTACGTTTTTAAGTATCCCTATCATTCAAATGATTAATTTTAATGATTCTTAAATGTACATTGAGAAAAGCGCTACATATGGTATTTTCATTTACTTGTGTGTCTCTAGAAATCTTGAATGAAAAGATTAATGTCTTTGTTAAAAATAATTACGTTATTTATTTAATATATACCTGAAAAAAACTACATATACACCATCTCAATTTTCTTTATATATAAACTATTTTTAAACCGAAAAGTAATGGACTTTACCATGAATTAAAATAATAATAATCTTACCTTGTACAAATACCTTGAAGTCTGAACTAAAAAAAAACCTGACCAATGAGTATTGCTGTCCTCGATATGATATTTAAATTCACTTGGTTATAATTGTTATGTTTTCAGAAAATTAAAAATACTAGCTAACCTTCAAAGTAGGTTGTTTAGATTTAAATGTTGAAATAGATTGTAATTTCAGTCAATGAACTGTCTTTTAATCAACTTAAAAAAACATGTATGTTAATGTGGAGAGAAAAATAGTTTTTACATAATTCTTATTCTGTCAAGGTCCCTTTTGGGGTTTATAGCGTCTAACATTCTTTGTATATTTTGGCGTTTTATTTCCATCCGGCCTACAAAGGAACCAACACTATGGAAGTCGAATGACATAAATGCTACACATTCTTTATAGGAAATTTTAACATCGTTTACAGTTAAAGCCTTGCTTGCAAAGGTGACAAATCAAATATAGCCTCGAGACAATTGAATACAGTGTCAATACAAAAAAAAGTTCATAATTTGTAAATAGTCGATTCTCAAATGTTAAGGTTCGGACTATCTTAAAGAAGATAAACCCATAAAAACGCTTCAATCGAACTAAATATATCTAGTGTTTATTCTTATTAACTTGGTATATGGTGTCTGCTTTTTACTGAAGTAAAACTTTAAAATAAGTATTTCTAATATTTAGCTTTACGTAATTCTTTTTAAATTTTCTAAATGGATTTGTGAAACGTTCCGAAACCAAAAAGAGCGGGAATGTGTTTATGAACTATGAATATGATTATCTCACCTAACATATATAGCACAGTAAAAATACCTTGCATTCTAAACGATTAAAAGCTGAATAAGGTAAATAGTTCAGCCCTCTAAATTATATTTAAATTCACCCGTGTATGAATAAATACACATTTTAGAAAATTAACAATACTTCTTTACCTTTGTTACCGGTTATGTATATTTAAATCTTACGTTTCGATCGACCGACAAAGCGGCCAACAACGTGATAGGGGAATGACGTAAATACTTCTGAGGCCATGTGCACCACAGGTGTAATAAAGTAGTAGACTTTTTTACCTTCAACCCATATCAGCTTAATACATAATACATGTAATAGGTTCATTTTTTTCTTAATGTGATTTTTTTATATGGGAGATGGTATTTGAGAACATGTATTTGCTTACTATTTGTATGGTTCTATTTATATTACTTTGTGGGGGATTGTCAGTAACATAAGTAAAAGATTTCGGTTAAATGTGGAAATTGTTTCTCAGTTTAGATAATTTTTAGTCATGACATGATGATTGGGGCTAGATGAGCTAGAAAGTGAATTTCTGTGTTATTCTTTATTAATTCTTTGAAAATATCTCCTCCAAAGCTGGTCAAAGCAAAAGAAAGTTTTGACCAGTATGAAAATGATATCAACAAAAGAACCTTTGTGAGCATGCTTCAAAGACTCATAACTAACTACAGAAGTCATATGATAAAATGTCAAGTGGATATTATGAACATCTACTTAATATGTCTAAATATCTAAAAAGTTTTAGTATTCAATATGAAAAAGCTATTGCAAAAGTATTCTCTTTTCAGTTTTTTTTTGTTACATGAATACAAATATAAGTGATACCAATACAGTAAGGCAGTTTTGTTATGGTATGAAAGTGTAGTAATTAGCATTTACTGTTAATTCACACAAATTAAGAAATAAACAAATGAATGATAAATGTTGAACATGTACAATGAAATATATTTTAGAAATTAATTAGGCCAGATAGGCCTTATAAATTTTGGTCTTTTTCTTAACATACTGAATGACCATTTACACTCAGGACTGAGTCGCCAGTAGGCAGTACAGATGTAAAAAATGTGGATAGTGTCTACATGTGGACACAGATGATGCCCCCGCTTGCATATCATATAGTTATAAAGGGACATAACTGAAGAACAGTAAAAGTGACGCTACCCAAATTTGAACTTGATCTGAGTTTTGTGGTAATAAGCATTGAGTGTAAGTCTCATATCATTTGGTTGAGGCTAACTTAAGAATGATAAAAGTGTCGCCACCAAATTTCGTACTTAATCTGTATTATGTAGTAATAAGCATTGTGTATAAGTTTCATAACATTTGGTTGTGGCAAACTAAAGTTAGAAAACGGAAACAAAAAATTTGTACTTGATCTTAGTTTTGTGGTAATGAATATTGTGTATAGGTTTCATAATGTTTGGTTGGGGCAAACTTAAGTTACAGAATGGAAACTAAAAATTTAGCAATCTTTCGATTTATAAAGGGGCATAACTCAATAAAGGTTAAAGTGACCCTACCCAAATTCAACTTGATCTGTATTTTATCAGTGGAAGTCAAAATTAAACATTGCATTGTATAAAGCATTGATTGTAGTTGATTCAACTATAATCATGGACAAAGGAAGATAACTCCAATTTTACAATTACTTGATATTTAGAAGAAAATAAAAATTTAGCAATTTTTCCATTTACATAGGGGCATAACTCAAGAACGGTTAAAGTGACGCCACCAAAATTCAAACTTGATCTGTGTTTTGTAGTAATAAGCATTGTGTATAAGTTTCATATTATTTGGTTGAGGCATACTAAAATTAGAGAACGGAAACGAAAAATTCAACAATTTTTCCATTTGTAAAGGGGCATAACTCTAGAACGGTAAAAGTGATCCTACCAAAATTCAAACTTGATCTGTGTTTTGTGGTAATAAGCATTGTGTATAAGTTTCATAACATTTGGTTGAGGCAAACTAAAGTTAGAGAACGGAAACCAATTTTGGGACGTACGTACGTACCTTCGTACAGACGGACAAGGGTAAAACTTAATGCCCCCTCCGCTACGGCGGGGGCATAAAAATAAAGTGTAACAAAAGAACCTAGCATTATATTGCTAGTAGCGCCAGTAGCATTGTTTGGTGAATTTGTGCTTTTTTTTTAGTTTGGCTAATTGACAAAAAATGTTTGGTTCAAATCTAAATAAAATGTTTTTATCTCCCTATTACTTACATTGTACATAGAATGGATACTACTTTGACAATTCCTTGTACATGAGAGTTGTCCGTCAAATCTTTATTTCACAAAGAATGAATTGCATAACAATGAACTGAGCTCAAAGCAAAGCACTTCAATAATACACTTAGACAATGAGCTCAATCCAGTGATATACTTTGTACTACAGGTCCTTCATGAACATCCTACTGGCCAAAATCATATCTCACAAACATGCCATACTACATGGTTGGATCAGAAATCCTGAAAAAGACATGAACTTTATTAACATATTTTAAGTATATACACCGGTTAAAACTTTCACAAATTTGTGGTAAAATTATTCAGTATCTAGCAACTATCAATTGCTTCATGCACAAATTGATATAGGTTGAGTACCCCTCTGTCAGAAATAAGAACATACCTCCACCTAATTTTAGTTAACTGATGAAGAAACATTCAAAACTATAAAATGTTATCTAATAGACTAGCTGCAATGAAATCCCAGAAGATTTTAAACTATGCATTTTAAATATTGCAAATATACATGTAATAATAATTCTTCTCAAAAATTTGCTATATTTTTCCTTATTTTGTCTTTTGTTCAAGACTGTATATTGACCTCTAGATGTCTTTCAATTACATCCAGTTTGGCGAGGGTTGATGTTTGATTGTTGTACATGTTATATATCGACGTGGGATTTGTTTATATAAATTAGGCGTGAAATAATTTTGGTTAACTGAAATCTTTTAACTTACATCCAAATTAATGTTAATACTGAGTGAAAAAATTACATTGCTAAATAACCACTTTAAAACACATGCAAACTTATTGAGAGGAAGGCATAATGCATGTAACATCTATTAGATCTTTTTTTAAACCATTCTAAACTACTGATAAGTGATAAAGTTTGTTAACTGTTACTTACCTTCAAAAAGGGGGTTGCATTCACTTTACTACATATACATATAAATATAATCAACAATACTGAGTGCAACACCTAGGATAAATAGAGGATTGTTTTGTAAGAATAGTTGCTGAAATAAGCAGGCAATATTCAAAGTAGAATAAAAAATATTACAGGACTGTGTTTTAAAGTAATAAGCATTGTGCAGGGCTCACGTTACCATGCTACTGGGGCGGCAAAGTCGCTTTCCCGGTCGCCACTTCGCTTTGACCGACCTTCAAAAGCTAAATCTAGTCACCCTGTTGTTTACGATACTCAAATTCAGTCGCTTTCGTCATCGACAATATTCAACATTTACCAAGTCGATGAAACAGCAATTTTTCATTTGAAAGTAAAGAAATTCAAAGACATAAACGATTTATTTTCTTTAGGAGGTCTAAGCATTGATTTTAAAGTTGGTTGCATGTTATTTTCATAAAGACAACTGTTTTATCACTTCTCGTACTTGTTACTCAAGCGTAGATCAAATCATTCTAACTTTCGGCAAAATAAGCTTGTTACTTCATTAGAACATGATGAAATTAAAGATTTCTTGCTGTTGTGCAATACTTAGTAAATCTGTCGTCAGACTATAAATAAATAAAGTTCAATTAATTCCCAGTCATATTAGAAATTTATGAAAATGTAAAGGGAGCTTGCATCAATAGATATAAACAATTCACTTAAGTTTCATGAGAATTGCTGACAGCATTTTTGAGCTATTGTCCGAAAACTGGAAAATCACCCCTTTTTTAATGAAAAAACCCCATCACTCAGAAATGTAAAATGTAAAATTTATAAAATTCTAAACGGAGCTTACATCAATATAGATATAAACAATTCACCAAAGTTTCATACAAACTGCTGAAAGCATTTTTGATTTTTGTCCGAAACTGGAAAATCCCCCCTTTTTTCATGAATAAAACCCTGTACATTTTGCAACTCAGAAATGTAAAATCTTAAATCTATAAAAATCAAAAGGGAACTCATGTCAATAGATATAAACAATTCACCACAATTTCTTGCAAGTTGGTGAAAGCTTTTATTCTCCGAAATCTGGAAAATCCCCCTTTTTTTAATGAATAAAACCCCATAACTCAGAAACGTAAAATCTAAAATTTATAAAAAACGAAAGGGAGCTCATGTCAAAAGATATAAACAATTCACCAAAGTTTTATGCAAATTAGTTAAAGTT